AAGGTTTTAAATTTGTTTTTTTTTTTTCATTTTCCAGTTTTAATGCAAATGCCTGAATGTACTCAACTGTCAAGCTGTATGCATGAAAAACTGGCCAGCCCAGTGAATTAATCATTAGCAAATGGAACTACAAGCAGTCCACTAAGTACATCCTGATCATTAAGGGAGTATAAGTATTTATATTATAAAACTGATACAGAGCTTGTTCTTTAAGAGACAGGGCCACCAGGCAATACATGTAAATTTTGTGTATATGGACAGAACACATTTTTGACATTCAGTTCTGCTATCTAGAAACAATGAGTAAATGAACTTGGTGGTGGGGAGAGCAAGAGGTAAATAAAAGATTCAATCTGATTCTTCTGGCGGGGGGAAAGGAGTTAAAAGCAGGTCATTCTGCAGTATTATCTGTACAAGTCTTTCATAGTTGACTTGTCCATCTCCATAAATATCCACTTCTCTTATCATTTCCTCTACATTTTCTTCATCTGTTAGTTTTTCTAAGTTTCTCATGACGTGACATAGTTCTGCCACACTGATTAACCACTGCCATCCTTATCAAAGACCTGTCACAATGCCTCACCAATTCCTTCTTCACTGTGTATTTCATTTTTCTAGCCATCATAATCAAAAACTCAGGGAAGTCAATGGTGCCATTATCATAAGCCTCCACCTTGTTGAACATATCCTGCAATCTGGCTTCTGTTGGGTTCTGACCCACTGACTTCATGACAGTTCCAAGTTTCTTTGTTGTGATGGTACTATCACCATTGTTTTAAATAGACAGCTTCCCTAAACTCATCAATCTGTTCTACGGTCAGCTGATAAGCTATGGTGCGAACCAAAGGAGATGGAGCAAAGGGAGTGAGGGTGGCTGCACCAGCACAGGGGCTGGAACAGCAGATGGGGGTGCCACTGCTGCGGTTTGGTGTGCGCTCAGTGGACTGCCAATAACAAACAGCACTGAGCCCACGAGGCTCCAAGCACCACTGCCCTGGTATTACAACTATTGCTTTTCCTTCTTTAGGTTAAAAATATCATGCTAATTTAACCTGGCTGACATAATTAAATTCCTATATAGAAAATGTTGAAGGAATTATATTAAAAATGTAAAGAAAAAAATGACAAAAAGGCATCCTGCCTCAAACTCTCATATTTTCAACTAGAAAACAACTTCATGAACCAGAGATGGAAACGTCTCATTTTCTGGCTAGTAACAAAGAACATTCTTTACCCAACTAACTCTTTAGGTTATATATATTGCTTTTCTTATCTCTTTTGATTTTCCATGGTCAAAACAAAATACTATTCTAAGAAACATACTCTTTTCTCATTATGCTCTTCTATTTCAAAATGCTTACTAGTATGCATTATAATGATCACAGAGGGGAAACATAAACTGGTAAAGCACTGTATTCATTACATAGTCATTACGATTCCATATTATGTATTATTTATTTGCAGGTTTGGTCACTGGACTGAAATTATAAATCTTCATCTAAAAACCAGCAAATACGAAGGGGCTAATCTTGGGATGCCTAGGTGGCTCAGTCAGTTAAGCATCTGCCTTCAGTTCAGGTTATGATCCTGGGGTCCTTGGATAGTCTTGCATCAGGCTCCTTGCTCAGCCTGCTTCTCCCTCTGCCTGCTGCTCCCCCTGCTTGTTCTCTCCCTCTCCTTCTCTCTGGCAGATAAGTAAATAAAATTGTTAAAAAAGGGAGGGGGAGGCTAATCTTTTGTCAGATAGCAATTTAGTAAAAGCCATAAGCAAAATCTGCTTAAATTCTTTTTTCCTGTTTTATAGTTATATTTACCACATCCTGATATATTAATAAACAATTCAAAAGCTAAAGAGTAATACTATGGCACAGAAAAAATTGTTATTCACAATCACAGAAACCAAGATTTATAATGTAGTATCTTGAAGAGTTGGTGATATAGTGACCTAACACAATCATTTGCAAAAGTGAATTTTAACAACATAATTTTAGCATGGGTTGATGAATCTCATTATGACATGAGTGGAGTTGACAGATGACAGACGTTTGCCTACACTGTAGATCTCATCTAAAAGAAAAGCCTAGGGAAAATATTTTCACAAATGCCAAATCATGTATAAGTGTTTTTACACATTTATACTATGGGACTACAACCTAAAAACAAGGTTGTGGAGCTCTGTGATTTTCTTAATAAGATAGTCACAAAATGTTAGATATATTTTTATGTTTTAGTTGCAATTCACTATAAAGGACTGTCACTAGTATATCTTAACATTAGGTTATTAAAAGCTAGTGAAAGTTCAATTTACCAAAATGTAACTAATATTAGAAATGTCTGCACTGGCAAGAATGCTTTATGTATGATGCTCTACTTCCTATTAAAGCTCACTACAGAAACATTTCATATATCAACAACTGTTGGAAGCCAAGCAAGTCCTAGAATATTGGGGCATATCTACAAGAGGCACACAGGACAAGTATTTTCAAATCTAGTTGTATATATACATTGAACACAATGTATATTACACATAAGGCAAGCAAAATGCTAATGGACCATACAGAGACCATATGAAAAGTCTACACACCATTATAGACTCAATAATGAAATGTTTACTTCTTTTATTCTGAACCAAAATAAAAAATTGCTTTTTTTTTAAAAGGTTTTATTTATTTATATGACAGAGAGAGACACAGTGTGAGAGGGAACACAAGCAGCCAGAGAGGGAGAGGGAGAAGCAGGGTTCCCTCTGAGCAAGGACCCCAATGCAGGGCTTGATCCCAGGACCCTGGAATCATGACCTGAGTTGAAGGCGGATGCTTAACCATCTGAGCCACCCAGGTGCCCCCCAAATTGCTGTCTTAATGAGAGGCAAATATATAATAGAAGGAATGCAGAACTAGAACTTAACACAACTGGATTTGGGGTGCCACCCAGCACTACTGCTGGCGTGATCTGTGACTGAATTGTTTTCATAAGTAAGGAAAAAATTGGACTATATAATCCCCAAGGGTTTTGTTTCTGTTTTTGTTTTTATTTGTTACTTTGTGTGATTTCAAGTGTAGAGGCTTTATGTAAATAGACAAAGTCCAATTTTTGCGCAGGAAATTAGAACAGCACAGAACTTAGAAGGCAGATAAACTCAAGACTGAATTTTAAAAAATTAAAAACAGGGCGCCTGAGTGGCTCAGTGAGTTAAGGCCTCTGCCTTCAGCTCAGGTCATGGTCCCAGGGTCCTGGGATCAAGCCCCACATCGGGCTCTGTGCTCAGTGAGGAGCCTGCTTCCTCCTCTCTCTCTGCCTGCCTCTCTGCCTACTTGTGATCTCTGTCAAATAAATAAATAAAATCTTCTTAAAAAATAAATAAATAAAAATTAAAAATTAAAAACAAAAAAGAAAACACAAACAAAAAACTACACAATGACACTGTGCCCAGACTTATGTTTATGGAATGTCAAGTCATATTGTTCAAAGAGATAGATGATACTAATGCTAATCACCGAAATTACTACGGATTTAAAGCTATGCCGCCTTTAGCAGCATTTACCTCCCCAGAATTCATGCCTCCTTCTGGCAGAATTTTCATGTCAGGATACCCACTCCTCTATGTGGTCCTGGTAACAAACTATCCTTCCACCACTCCATGACAGAGTTCATGGGAAAATAAACTACACATCCCTGGCCCCTGACTATTTCAGAGACCGGCATGGCCCTAAGCGAGTACAATAATATGGAATCTTAGGGTTTTTGCAGGAACTGCCAGAAAAGAGGTACTCCACTAGATCTAAAATTACAAATACACGAGGCTAAGTATGCTACAGCCCTTTTGACAATATAATGAGAAATTCCATCTGAGAATGAACAATCCAGTGGAAGTGGAGACAAGAAATAGAGCAAGAAAACAGATTATATCATTTAAGCCCCAGTATGAAGCTATTCCTTAAGCCATCTCTATCTACCTCTAAGAGGTCTTAATTTCACAACTCAACAAATTCACTCTCACTTAAATTAGCTTGGGTTGAATTCTTTGTTGCAACTGAAAAATCATAACAACTAAGTTTCCCTATAGCAATTTTAATGAGGAAAGATCATTCCCTATTTCTTGCTATAAAGCCCAGATAAATCATTGTACAACCCCCCTTATGTCTCAATACCATCAATAAAATAAAGTATCAGCCATTACCTGCTTCAAAGTGTTATGAAGGTTAAAAATAGAAAAGATTTGTGTAAATACAAAATGATGCTTAAATCCAACACTGTGTAGATGGAAAAATGGTCTCATTTTTAAGAAAGTAATCTCAGGAGGTCATTTTTACCGTATTACCATACAGTTTCTAGGGAACAAGGGAATTAAGGAAATACCAATAGTGCCTGTTGTATTTAGATTCAAATCCAATTGTACTTAAGTCTGTTCTACATAGTGCCTATGTATAAGAGAGACGATTCAATTCCAAATCAAGTGTCCTGAGAAAGGTTTGTATGACTGGGCAAAATAACCTAAGCACCTAAACTCCTTACCTATAAACTAGGAACAATAAAATCTAACTCTACAGTTTCTGTGAGAAGCAAATGAGATAACAGTTATGAAACCTCTTTGCACAGTATATGCATTTAACGTTCCTTCCATAAAATGTATTAAATAATGTTTTTCTAATATGCTATTCAAATATCTAAAGCTGGAGGAAAACTATACTCCATTCATTCTAAGATACACATTTTTCTTGGCCTAAAGTCAGACAGTATTTATAGCTGATGCCACTGTTTATTTGGCAGTGATTTTTAGTTTAGTGGTACATAAGAAAATAGTGCATCTTGCAATTAAAGGGTTGCCTTAGATTTGATGAATTAGGGTACACTAGGGAAAAAAAAGAAACAGGATTCAAGGATTCCCAATTCAAAAACCACAGTACTTAAATAAAGTAGCATTTACCAAGATACATATTAAAAACAGAAATGTGTGTGTGTGTGTATTTACATAGTCAGCTTAATTTTAGTTTACATACCTCTGTAGATCAACTATTTCATTGTTAAGGGTATCTAGCTCCTTAATAGCAGAGAAATCTGCAACAGGACTTGATCCTATGATGTTCTAAAAACAAAAAGTTCACAATTATAACATTATTACAATAAAACTATATATGGTAAAGCATTAAAAATGTTCAAAAGCACTACATGGATACAGATTATTACACATTTTACAGTATTACTAATACTTTAAATTCATTTAAGAAAATTATATCTAATATGATTTTATACACACACACAGTTATAAACTGAGACATTTTCCCTTAAATTCTCCAAAAGCTATTGCTCTATAATAGGTACCACCACTTGAGATCCCAAAGTCCTTGTCACTTTATTCTAGCACCTGTTTAAAACCTTGAAGTAAAGCAGATACCAGATTTATAAACTAATTCCTCCATTAAAGAATAAATTTCTTGGGGAGATGGATAGTGACTTATTTGTACTTGTGTCATCTGACACAGAGTAAGTAAACAAATTTTTGTTGAATCTCAGAATCATAATGGTAGCTGATTTTATTCAATTCAAAATTTACTTTTGTTGGGCGCCTGGGTGGCTCAGTGGGTTAAGCCGCTGCCTTCGGCTCAGGTCATGATCTCAGGGTCCTGGGATCGAGTCCCGCATCGGGCTCTCTGCTCAGCAGGGAGCCTGCTTCCCTCTCTCTCTCTGCCTGCCTCTCTGTCTACTTGTGATCTCTCTCTGTCAAATAAATAAATAAAATCTTTAAAAAAAAAAAAAAATTTACTTTTGTTAAACAATTTTGGTGCCTACTCTATTTAAAGTAGAAGCAGCTGCTCAGCATGTTCCATAGTAAATTTTAACATCAGCATATATGAAGCTGTCTTCATATATGACATCCTTTACATATGGTTTTCTTTCAATAATGAAAGTATCAAAATTGGTCTCTGAATGGTACCTGGGTTTATTCTGGTCTCTGCCATTTTACTAACTGCATGATCTTCACTATAAAATAGGGAAATAATCTCTGCCCTGCCCACTTTAAAAATTAAATTAAATAATGTATATGTCACTCTAAAACTTAGTAACATTTTACAAACGTAAGGTATTACTATAATTAACCTACTCAACAGAATATGCCCTTAAGATGGATGACCTCCCAATAATTTGCTTCCACCCTGGCTCACAAAGATTGTGAACCATTTTTGATTCATTATATATGTGGCTGAAGTCAGGACAAGAAGATAACTGCTCCTTCAAACACCTAACCAACCTCCAGTGCTATAACCAGACTGACAAAAAACAGAATAACCACCATTAGGAAATTTTTAAATTGAGGCCTAAACATGTAGAACTAAAATACGTTGAGGACTTTATTAGCAGAACATAAAACTTAGAATTAATACATATTTTATCATGGACTTAATGTATGTCATCAACTTGGACAACAGAAGAAGAAACATAAAAGTTCACAATATCCCATCTCTTCACATGTATATGATGATTTACAATTTACTAAGCACTTTCAAATCCATTAATCAATTCTCAAACTAATCTGAAAACTGGGTTAAGTATGGCCGATATTATTAGTAACCCCATTTTAGAACTAAGTAACTAGATTTAAAGCACCTGCCTAAAGATGAACCCAGCTAATAGGAGACATTGATTAGGAGACCTCTGATTAAATTAAAATCTATTTCACAGTATGCACCTTGGCACTTGGATATCAAGATCATTTGGGGCAAATGAAACCATCACCCTAAAAGCCAACTTGATAAACAAGTATGTCGATAAAATCTGGCAAATAACTCCCTCCATATTTCTTTAGGCACACTGCATTATTAGTCCTCAGATGTTTTGTCTACCAATACCAAAATTCATCTGTTAGGATTCAATTAATGCTAGTCTCAATTTTATTATTAACTACAAATTTTTATCAAATGTACCTCTTACTGTTTTACTGTGTTTCACTAATACCCAGACCATTATCATTTTGAATTAAATTAGAAACTTTAAAGTGGATTTCTGAATGTGACAGGTATTCACTAGGATTTTAAGTCTGTCTAAACTTGATATATGAGCTAACCCTGGTCGGACAGTTTGACAGTTGAACAAAATGAAAAATCAGGACTTCGTCTCACTTTTATCACCAAGAGTAACTGCTGAGAAATTCGCTATGAAAGGTCCAAGTATACCAAGAAACTGATGACTTCCACACCTCTTCTGCTACTCCAGCTCAAAAAAGTGACTCACAGCTGACAGTCTTTCACTATTAAAAATATCATCAGATAAGAAGAGTGAGACAAGTAAGTTTAACCTCAAACAAGTTAGGTGATACCACAGATGACTCCAGAAGGCAGATTAGTGTACTGTATTTGGTATAGCTTGTATCACTCCTCAATTGCTAACACAGAAATTAAACTCCCATTCTAAAAATGGCATGCAATCAAGAAATATGGAAAAAGTTCAGCTAACAGTATATAAAGTATAAGAAGGGCATATGGAGAAAAATGTAGCATGTCCCCTTTTTCTAAAAGATTTTGTCTCACCCTGTTTTGTGCATTACACAAAAATTCCACTTTGCCACTTAAAAAGCCTCTAATTGTAAAATTATAAACCAAAAACCATAATGCTAAAAAAGGCATAAAGTAAAGCTCTAACCTTGAGAGAGTAGAGTTAAGAAACTGACAGTACAAGAAAGGCGAAAAGCAGAGTGCTGCAGAATGGAAAAAATAGTCCAAACTAGAAAAAACACAGAAAGGAAAGCAATATTCAAAAAAAGATTAGTCAAAGCTGCAAAAAAATGCAGTTCTAAAAAATCAGATTATAAAGAGAAGAGAGATTATTCGAAAGACAAAACAAATGCAAACTTTAAATACTTAAGGTTAAAAAGTTGGGTTAATAGATAAGACAATAATGATAAAATCCCATTTTTATGTATAATATTGATATCTGACATAATTAGCCAAAAGTGTCCATGCTCTAGTGAATGGACTTCAGACAAATCTATTAAAAACTCTGTAGAGCAGATGCAACCTGGGGTGTCTACTAATGTCATCTGCTTCAGAAAGCTCTGTCACATCTGTAGTTTTTCACTGGTGGGAGATTTAGTGGGTATAAAATGAAGGTGACAAGGTGAAAAAACAGTCTGCATAGGTGAAAAAACAGGAATGAAACAACTCAGATATAGTTATAGCAGAGAGCACACATACAAATCTGTAACTTTTATCTTTCTGGGTGGCATCACTTTTAGCCTTTTCCACAACTTACGGAACCTATATCCTATGTCACCAGAAATCTCAAAAATTTCAGAAAATGCTCTCCCTGTCCCTAAAACTCACAAAAGAGATAATCAAATACTTATTTTATTTAAAACTAAGGATTAAAAACTCCTATAAGTAATTTCTATACCTGGTGGCTATAAATTTCCATTTAGTTGACTTATTAAAAAAATCAATTTTGAATTTTATTAGGTTAAAATGGGATTTTTTTTTAACCTATGTGACAAAATTACTGCAAAACCAAACTATTCTACTGACATTTTAAAGACAGCTCTCCTTATACCACACATCTAACAACTTTTATTATATCTAACTCTGAAAAATCACCACAGCGGTAATTACTTTATAGGTCATAAAATATTTAAAAATACAAAGTATATATTTTTAGAGGCAATAATAGCCTCTAGAAAACGTTAAGTCCTTTTGAAGCTCTATGAAGGCCAAGATATTGTAAATACACTAAGCTAGGACAGATGTCTAGAGGAGGAGAGAAAAAAATCAAGGCACAGCATGGCTAAAACAATGTAGTTTTGAAAACTCCCACTGCTGGCCAGAAACCAAAATTTGCTAAAACCTGCTTCTAGCTGTTCAGATATGAAATTTGGCCTCATGCTCAGTATAAGGTCATCTACATAGCTAAAACCACACAGACTTCTCAACATTATGTTTTTCTTGTTTACATATAAAATTGACACCAATCATAATCTCCTAGATTTTGTTTTCAATTTTGTATTATTTTGGGTGAATCATCAAATGAAACACAATAATTTAATGCTTAGAGATTTCATTTAAATTTTATACTTATTCATAAAAATTCACAAATCCAAGACAGGGGAAGGGGGGAGGGGACACATTTTTCCAATTTTTAGATTGGAAAATATGTTTGCCATATGTGTAATGAATGCTGGGGTAAATGAGCTGCAGCCCAACAATGTCATACAAGGCGTCTGAACATATTTATAGACACAAACTAAACCACAAACAATATACTGCTCTACTGATAGCCAGATACATTTTCTCCACTGTTTCATTCAAATCAAGTCTGTCATCTAACACAGCACTTATTTCCTTTTGTTAATACATTCCAGTTTCTGTTGTCTTACCTTTTGTAAATTGGTCCTGTCTGATGGCGGAACCATCTCAGGAGAAAGAATGTGAGGAGGATCAATGCCTTTTATTAACTTTTGATTGATCAAGTGAAAAGCCAAGGCAAACTGATCTTTTGAAAGCTTCCCACAGTCCTTTGTGTCACACAATGTCCTGTACAAATAAACAAAACAAACAATATAAATGCTACAACTGCTATTATAAAAATCCAGGGAAAAGGTAACAGGACTAGGTACCTTTTTAAAAATGATCAGTTGAGTTAAAAAAGAAACTCATACTTCTGTGTGTGACCTACCCGAAACTTAAACTCAAATGTTAGAAAAGAGAGATTAGCTAAAATGGTTTTTAAAAAAGAGAAAGAGAATGTTCACCTTGGTGCTGAGCAGAGGCCTCTTATCTGGGTTTGCTTTGTACTTTCTTACCAATTTCCAGAACTATTACAGAGTAAGAGTTGTGGTGGGCCAAAGAATCCCAACATTCTCGACATGAAAAGATGTTAAAAATGAAACCTAAGTTTCAACAAATTTGAGTCATTAGTGGCGTTAGAATGAGTCTAAAACAAGCAAAAATTTCCACGTTGGCTTGCTTCCTGCAACTCTTGGGAGTAGGCGGATATAAGGATCACCAAGTCAAAGCAGAAACAACAGCTGCAAAGGGAGATCACATGTGAAGAGAAGGCAGCAATGTGGAAAGCTTTACAAAATCACTTGAAGAGAAACAGCAAATGTTTTATCCTGTTTTCTTCTCTGACCTTCCTTCCTCCCTCCCTCTCTCTCTCTTTCTTTTTAAAGCTCAGCTTTCTGAAGTCCTGATCTGTTTCATTCACTGAAACTCAATGTGGCCTGATGAACAGATTATGGGTAAGGTGTCAAAGAAATCCTGAATTCCAGCTTCTCTACTTGTTTCTTCTTGTGACCTTGAACAAATTTTTTTAACCTCTTCAAGCCTTAGTTTCTTTATCTATAAAGTAGAGATAACATACATTCTGCAAGGTTACAGTGAGAATTAAAGGTAAAGTACAGGGGCACTGGGTGGCTCAGTTGTTAAGCATCTGCCTTTGGCTCGGGTCATGATCCCAGTTTCCTGGGATCAAGCCCCACATTGGGCTCCTCTCCCACTCCCCGTGCTTGTGTTCCCTCTCTTGCTGTGTCTCTCTCTGTCAAACAAATAAAATCTTCGAAAAAAAAAAATGGTAAAGCACATAAAGTCTGGGCATAATGCCAATTCCATGACAACTGCCATTTATTGAGCACACTGTCTGGCCTAGGCATTTGAAAGTGGCAGTTATTATTAGTTACAGATATTTCCTCTTTCCCAGTCTTGAGTTCTTGTTCCTCTTAAGGCAGACCTACTGTCCTCCTTTGTTCTTTTCTAAGTTTCTCTTTGCAGCTATGTGGTTCCACATCTGATGTTTGCTGCCTCTTGAAAACCTCAACATAATCTCCAGTATAGTCAGGTGGACTGACAACAGGCACACTAAAATTTTCATATGTATGGTCTTATTTAACATGACATGCACTAGACACTCAAGTTCATCTTTTTTAACGACCAAGTGTGTACTCCCTATGTTAAGGTATAAAAGTATACATATGCCATACAGAATTATAAGAGCACGCCTTGAAGATACTCTTCTGTACATTGTCTAAATTTCAGATTTTTGGATTCTCCCTTAAAATTTTAAGTTTAATTAACTGATATAAACAAATGCAGCATTTTAACATTTTAATAATCATTAACTGACACTGTCAACTTATAAAACAGGTAATTCATTCTCAAGCTTTTATCCATTATCCAGAAGAAATTCTCATATTTAAATTTTATCTACAAAGAATTTTGAAAGATAACTATCCAATTTACAAATGCCTAAAAATAAGAATGCACAAAACTAGAGTTTTACAAAACCATATTTGTTTTCTAAATTAATTTAAATAAAATCTTACCAAATATGGGCCAGTAAGGTAGAAGGTAAACCTGTCTTTAGGAAGATTTCACGGACTTCCAATCCAGATACAAAGCCATCCATATCTTTATCAGTTTTCAAGAAGATCTCATCGTATTTAGCCTTTTCTGCAGGGGATACAACCCACTACAGGAAAGAAATAAAAAGAGTAATAAGAACGTGTAAATATATAGCTATATAAGGTGTTTCTGTCAGAATGAAACAGACTTTGAAATGTCATTCTTGCAACCCATGATAGTATCTCTCAAAATTTTGAGCAATTCCATCCCACTATCTATAGCAATAGTGTACCATTCCATCAACCCTGATCAAAATGCTGTAGTGAAGAGAAAATTGTGGAAGAAAAATACAGGTCAGTTGGGATATACTTATAGATGGCCATTTCACTTTTTTCCTTTCAAGTAATGAATAAATTCAAGCACAGTTAACTCTTGACTTATGAATGAATGACCACATTAAGATGAGTAACTGGGAGAGTCTGTTGAAACAAAATATTCAGATAATTCTCAATCCTTATTTTTTAGAGTTTCATTCAGCATTCATAGCTGTAGCTGAATTAGCTGATTTGCAAATCCTGTCAATATTTTCCTTTACGCAGCCTGACAAGCATCAGGCTGGAGGGGAAAAAAGGCTCGGGACAATCCAAAATTGGATGACTTGATCCCAAAGAATCAAGAGTTAACCAGGGATTAAGAAAACAAAAACATCTATTAACTATGCCTGGGCAAGCATGCCAGATTAGCACGGAATATCTTCTGTCTCCAACTCTAAGTCCAAGTAGATCAAAGCAAAGCCAATAAAACATCCATATGACCTAAGTAAGGCCAAATGCAGGAGGATTATGTCTTCGCCAGGACATCATATTATGCAGATTCAACCAGAGGGTGCTCTAAATTTTTGATCCCTTTGATTGCTACTTCTGTCTTCATCAAGCAATCAACTGTTAGATGCCATGCACTTAAAAAAAAAAAAGTCCTTTAACACTGATAGATCTATACCTGTCTTAACGGTGCTTTGGTAGGTAAAATGCCTACAGGTGGTAAAGACTGGTAAGGTTTCTCGGCTGATGTTGACGAGGGGACCAACCGCACAGAGCCTGATATACTGACCGTTTTTCTCTTAGAAGGTGGCACCAAGGCGGGAGGCAAGGACATTGGCACAGGTTCTTTCTCCAATGCGCAATATACCAAAAACATGGCCTTCAAGAGAAATGAACCAGGGTCATATATATTAGATTCATTTAACGACATCCACCCACTGAGTTGATCATTGTTCAACAACAAAGCAGCTACAAACTGTCTCAAAAAAAAAATTTTTTTTTAAAGAAATTAGGCTGGGAAAGAAGAAAAGGAGGAAAACAAGAAAGGAGAAAAGGAAATAAATCAAAGCCAAGCAACTTTTAGGAAGATATCCAAAGTAGCAAAAAGTCTGACACATGACCTTCAACTAAAAGTCCTGCAATGTCAAAAGCAAACAACCTGGAGAAAAGGTATCTGCAAAGAAAGAGTTAACTTCCTAAAAAGGGTCCCTAGAAATTAACAGAAGAAAAAGGTAAAATCCAATAGGAAAATGGGTAAAGAGTAAACACAGATATTCTACAGGAAAGTAAAAATTACAGACTGTCTACTCTTTAAGATACAAAAATATGCTCACTTTCATAAAACTTCAAATTAAAACTATACTAAAATACATTTTCCACTTACTGGCAAATATCTAAAGTTTCATAATGTACACTGTTAACTAGACTAGGCAAACAGGTACCTTCAGACATTGCTAGTGGGAGCTCAAACTGATACCAAACCTATGAAGGACAAATTGGCAACAACTACCAAACTTATTTACTTCTCATTTGGCTTAGCAATCCCCCATCTGGGATCTATCCTCAGACTTACCTGCCTACATAAAAAACACTGTGTGAAAAAGATTGTTAATCACAGAATTCTTTGTAGCAGCACCCAAGTGCTCAACAACAAAAGACTGGTTTAAAAACATTATGATACAGCTATACAATAAAATACTATGAAACAAAAAGAAAACCAACACACAAAAAAACATTAAAAACATTATCTTAACTGTGGTACCTTCACAAATAATATACAATTATCAAAACTCATCAAATTAGGGCACCTGGGTGCCTCAGTGGGTTAAGCCTCTGCCTTCGGCTCAGGTCATGATCTCAGAATCCTGGGATGAAGCCCCGCATCAGGCTCTCTGCTCAGCAGGGAGCCTGCTTCCCCTTCTCTCTCTCTGCCTGCCTCTCTGACTACTTTTGGTCTCTGTCGAATAAATAAATAAAATCTTTAAAAAAAAATTAAAAATAAAAAAATAAAAAAACTCATCAAATTATATACTTAAATTGAATGCAATTCACTGTATGTAAAGTAGTTCTTCAATAAAGCTAACCTGGGAAGGGAAAAAAAAAAGAAACAGAGCTCTCTATGTGAAGCTATCCAAGTACAGTGTTAGTGTGTCTAACAGTGTGTATAGTGTGTTATCTCTTGCAGTAAGGGAATAATGATTATTCATATGTGCTTATATTTGCATTTTAGAAGTCTAGAAGAATGAACAAGAAACTAAGAAAAGTGGTTGGTTATAGAGTGCATATAAATGGAACCCTGAGGGCAAGGATGGAACTGAGTTTTTTCCACTGAATATCTTCTTATATTGTACTGATTTCCCACCCATGAGAATGTATTACCTATTAAAAATTATTTCTAATTATTAAATACATAAAGCACAGGCACAAAGTGGAACAACCTACATACAGAATGTCAAGGCACCTTCAAGACCTTTAAAAGATAGTTTCCACGACAATCTTCAAGCATATGAAATTGCTCAAAACAACCTGGAACCTACAAAAAGATTCCAAAAGCAACTGGGAAGAAGCTTAAGTACTTCTTAATTATTCTTCTTCCACTGAAAATAACATTTTTCCCCAAAAAAGTTTGCTTACAATTCTAAGTTAAGTTTTATGGGACTTTCAAATCAGTGTTTACTGAGCACCTAATACAACAACACTGATCCCTGATTTCTGTGATTAGAAATAACATTTTTTAAATTTTTTTTTATTTTTTAATAAACATATAATGTATCATTAGCCCCAGGGGTACAGGTCTGTAAATAGCCCTCAGAAATATCATTTTATGGGATGCCTGGGTGGCTCAGTTGGTTAAGCAGCTGCCTTCGGCTCAGGTCATGATCCCATCGTCCTGGGATCAAGTCCCACATCGGGCTCCTTGCTCGGCAGGGAGCCTGTTTCTCCCTCTGCCTCTGCCTGCCATTCTGTCTGCCTGTGCTCGCTCTCTCTCCCTCTCTCTCTGACAAATAAATAAAATCTTAAAAAAAATATATATTAAAAAAAAAAAAGAAATATCATTTTATGAATGAAGAAACTGAAGCTCAGAAACACCAAGTAACTTGCCTAATATCCTTTAAAGAACTGATAGTATAGGATTCAAACAAAGATCTGGCTACAAAGCTCTGGTTTTTCTCAAATTTATCAGCTTCATTAGGAGTACACATGTAATTTTATAATACCATGTTCTCTACAAGGGATAAAACTAACCTTTCACCCAGTGGGTCCCAAATTGTAGCAGGTATCAGAATTACCTGAACAACTTTATAAAGCACAGATTTCTAGGCTCCACTCCCAGAATTCTAGAATCACTAAGTCTGGGTTGGGCCTGATATTTTAAATTTCTAAGAAGTCTCCAGGGATGCTGATGCTCTTTGTCCTGGGACCATATTTAACCGTTTGGCCCAAACCAAGAATTCTCCTCTTTCCACTCGCTATTCAACTTGAAGAATTCAATTTAGTTTTAGAAACACACAAACTTTATTATCTTCAAAAGCTTGAAACTCCAGAGTGAAAACCATCTGGCTAGCACATACTTTCAACCAAATTCATGATATAGGCAATATTACTAAATTGGCACCGAGCAAAAAGAAGTGACTAACATGCACATTAAAGGTCAGCATTCCTCTTGCTACAGATGGGAGTCATTTCCTGGAAAAGGAGACACTAGAAGCAAAAAGTCCATGTCAGCTATCTGCTGCCAACAGGCAACACATTTTTTGGAAATTTAAAAAAAAATTATCATTAATTTCATGTTGCACTGAAAATAGTTTCCCTGACGAAAGTGAAGCCAAAAAATTTTGTAGCAAATAAAAGAGAAGAAAGTGAACAGTATACTGCTGGGTGATTTTTTTTTTATTATATTGTACTTTAGCCTCATCAAAGCCTGCCGTTGAAACAAATATAGCAACTAAATCAAATGATGCACCATATTCAAAGAAAGAAAGAAAGAGAGAGAAAGAAAAAAAGAGAGAGAGGGAAAGGAAAGGAACGAAATCTGGCAAAATCAAGCCTAAGCTTTCTCAGTGATAGCAGGGAAGAGGGGATTTAGTTTTACTACTGCAGTCAATTACCAGTAGCTTCTTTATTTCCTTTTTATTCTCTGTGCTTTTAGTGAGTATATCTCAAATTTTAGTGGGTATCAGAATCTCTAAGAGGGCTTCTTTGACCCTACCCCAGAAATTCTGATTTAGCTGGGCTAGGCTAAGGCCTGAGAATCTGCATTTCTAACAAGTTCTCTGGTAATGCTGATGTTGCTGATGGGAGACCATACTTTGAGAACCAGTATTTTAGGAGTTTCCTTAAGAGTTTTATTTGTTCCTTCATCTACTTGAACTGCCAGTTTTAACTTCTCAAAATAGCATTCTGGGATGAAAATAATGGGTATTTCTTATGTATTCCAAGTTATACAAGTTTTTTTCATCAATTTAATTCAACAAAATATTTACGGAGAAATCTCTAGCCACCAGGCAGTGTGCTAGGCACCAGAAAAGGAAACTACAAAGACCTTTTATGTTTACCACCTGGTAGAATCAGCAATCATGTAACAAGTTGACTACAGTACAATCGGAACATGTTAATACAAATACAGTTAATAAGTCTCAAAGTGCCAAAAACATTTCACATGAGGACCCAACAAATGCTACTGACAAAAATTTAGACCACTTACTTGACAGAAAAATTTAAGGCCTATTAAGAATGTAAAACCCAGTACAAAGATATGAAGACTGAATACAAAGTAAAAAAGGCATGAGTCTGCCTCTCCGGAGAACAGAATAGGAAAAGAGGAAACAGTAACTTCATAGTGAAGAAATCTGGCAAACGGCATCTTTACCAAGTGACAAAGATTAACATCACCATTAATGGCATGTGGACATTACGTATCACCTGATAAATGTGATGAAAAAGTCTTATCACACTTGTATTCTTTCCAAAAACCGATACCCCTAGTTTATCCATGAGAAAAACGTCTGACAAACCTAGATTGGCAGACATTCTAGAGGATACCTAGCTAGTGCGCCTAAGTCATAGAAGCAAGACATAAAAAATATCATATACTAAAGGAGACACCAGGGAAATGCAAATCAAAAGCACAACAAGGTATCGCCTTACATGTGTCAGACTAGCCAGAATCAGAAAGACAAGAAATAACAAGTGTTGGCAAGGATGTGGAGAAAAAGGAATCCTTATGCATTGTTGGGAATATAAATTGGAGCAGCCACTGTGGAAAACAGTATCGAGTTTCCTCAAAAAATTAAAACCAGAAATACCCCATGATCCAGTAACTCCACTACTGTTATTTACCCAAAGAAAACAAAACTCTAAGTCAAAAAGATGTATGCACCCCCATGGTTATTGCAGCATTATTTGCAATAGCAAAGAGATGCAAGCATCCCAAGTACCCACCAACAGATGAATGGTTAGAGAGATGTGGTGTACACACACACACGTACACACACATGGGAATATTACTCAGCCATAAAAAAGAGTATGAGATCTTCCCATTTGCAACAATATGGATGGCCCCAGAGAATATGATGCTAAGTGAAATAAGTCAGATAAAGACAAATACCATGATTTCACTCACGAGGGGAATCTAAGAAATAAAAGAACAAAGAAACAAAGAGACAAACAAGAAAACAGACTCTTAAATACAGAGAACAAACTGGCAGTTACCAAGAGGGACGTGGGGGGAGGGATGGGTGAAATAGATAAGAGAGATTAAATAGTACATACTTCCAGTTGTAAAATAAGTCACAGAGATGAAAATCACAGCATAAGGAATATAATCAATAAGAGTGTAATAACATTGTCTGGCAACAGTAACTGTACTTATTGTGATTATTGTGGTTATGAAGCAATGTATAGGATGGTTGAATCATTATGCTGGACACCAGAAACTAATACAACACTGTGTGTTAATCATAGTATTTCAATTTAAAAAAAAGTTACAGACTCTGAAAAGTTAAAAAAAAATGGTATGGACTATGTTGTTCATCAAATAAAAAGATGGAAAAGATTTATCAGGTAAAGTCTACCAAAACAATGCTAGTGAGACTACAGATACTGACAAAACCACAAGGAAAATCCTAGAACCAAAAGAACTAAATTAACTGAGTAAAATCTAGAATTTAAGTTAAAAAAAATGTTCTAAAATCTTCTGGGGTTAGGAGGTAAAGAAGAAAGAAGTGAAAATAATCTAAAGGACTTGTTTTACTGGAGTGAAGGTTAACTTATTTTCAGCTACTGGAGAAATAAGTATGATTTAGTACAGAGATAGATGTTATTAACCATTAATGGAATAGACATAACAGAATTTCCACTTTAATAAAAGCAGAAAATTCAGTGAATCACTACTTGATAACCAGCAACAACAGAAACAGGAAAAAAAGAGAGAAAACAATAATGTTAACTAAACAAGGTAGGGGGAATAAAAATCATTATCTGTATCATTATCTTAAAAGACAGAAATTGTCAAATGAGGTAAAAAACTGAAGCACAGCAACATGCTGTTTTCAAGAGATACATTATAAATATAAGAAATATCAGGTAATCCAGATAAAAAGAGAACAGAGGCAGCAGAAATATCACAGGAGGGGTGCCTGAGTGACTCGGTTGATTAAGCATCCAACTCTTGATTTTGGCCTAAGTCATGATATCTTTTTTTTTTTTTTTTAAGATTTTATTTATTTATTTGACAGACAGAGATCACAAGTAGGCAGAGAGGCAGGCAGAGAGAGAGGAAGGGAAGCAGGCTCCCTGCTGAGCAGAGAGCCTGATGCGGGGCTCAATCCTAGGACCCTGGGATCAAGTCATGGTATCTTGGTCATGGGATCGAGCCATCTCCCCACCTCAGGTTCCAGGCTTAGCAGGGAGTTTGCTTGAGATTCTTTCTCCTTTCCCTCCCTCTCTGCCACTGCCCCCAACTCATACACACTTTCTCTCTTTCAAATAAATAAACCTTTAAAAAAATATATCACATGAGCTGGAATCCAAAATTAAAGGCACTAAGCATAATAAAGCTGGGAAGAATTTCTAAGGAATGCACACAGAAAGAAATCAAATGTGCAAAATGGTTAAAATTAGTAAATCTAGGAGAAGGCATATGGATGTTCACTATTTTTTTTAAGTAGTAACTTCTTATAAATGTGTCATTCATTTTTAAATTATTCTTTCAATACACGTTTACTTTTATTCTAAAAAAGAGTAGGTTACCTAGTAAAAGACTTCAGGGCATATAAGATAAACTATATTTAATCACCTACTTTAGCACATACTACCGTTAATCAAATGAGGGTAATACTATCCTCCATCTTTTTTAACTGTGCTTATACAAATGCTTCTTTGAAATTTTTAATTGTTGTCTTTATAGAAAAAAGAAATACCTCTACAAATCTTACCAATGCAAAGATTTTACACCTGTATTTTTTTTTTTTAAGATTTTTTTTTACTTATTTGACAGAGAGAGAAAGCACAAGTAGGCATAGGGGCAGGTAAAGAGAGGGGGAAGCAGGCTCTCTGCTAAGCAGAGCCTGATGCAGGGCTCAATCCCAGGACCCTGAGATCATGCCTGAGCCGAAGGCAGAAGCTTAACCCACTGAGCCACCAAGGAGCCCCAGATTTTATGCCAGTACTCTTAAACAAAAGCTATTTATAAAAAGTTAACATACAGAGTTGGACAGTCGTTCAAAGTACATCATCAGCCAAATCTCAAAGTATCATTTTCTCTCCCCAAAACACCACACAAACATTGAATCAACTTCAAACATGTAGCTGGGAAAAATTTTGTCGCCACTGTGAGGGGGTATATCCCTTGCCACTTCCCAACTATCACCCAAATTAAAATAAAAATACTAGGGACTTAGGACCATCAACTCAAGTCACTTTAAGTTTCCACTTCTGTATTTTTTTCCCCAAATGTAATAATACTTATTCTTCCTATTTTAGTTGGCTCTTAGGCTATAAATAGAATAAAACTTATGAAAGAGCAAAAAAATAAAAATAAGGCAAAACAGAAACATACTCAATAAAATTGATATGATGAGTTTATAGAGGTCTAAATATCTCCCAAACAGAAATGTTGACACATCCAGGGAACATATGTAAAAACAGGTCACGAACTGGGCAACAAAAAAAACCTCAAGAAATTTTTAAACAGAGATTTTAAAGACCATATTCTCTGGGCATAATCTAATCAAGCTAAAAGTATATGCAAATGTAACGGAGCACCTGGGTGGCTCGGTGGGTTAAAGCCTCTGCCTTCGGCTCAGGTCACAGTCCCAGGGTCCTGAGATCAAGCCCCGCATCAGGCTCTCTGCTCAGCAAAGAGCCTGCTTCCCACCCCCCTCTGCCTACTTGTGATCTCTGTCAAATAAATAAATAAAATCTTAAAAAAAAAAAAAAAACTTGGTCACAGAAGGAAAGATAGGGCACCTGGGTGGCTCAGTGGGTTACGCCGCTGCCTTCGGCTCAGGTCATGATCTCAGGGTCCTGGGATCGAGCCCTGCATCAGGCTCTGCTCAGCAGGGAGCCTGCTTCCCCCTCTCTCTCTGCCTGCCTCTCTGCCTACTTGTGACCTCTGTCAAATAAATAAATAAAATCTTTAAAAAAAAAAAAAAAAAGGGTGGGGGGCATCTGGGTGGCTCAGTGGGTTGAGGCCTCTGCCTTCGGCTCACTGGTCACTGGTCCCGGGGTCCTGGGATCAAGCCCCGAGTCGGGCTCTCTACTCGGCAGGGAGCCTGCTTCCCCCTCTCTCTCTCTGCCTGCCTCTCTGCCTGCTTATGATCTCTGCTTGTCAAATAAACAAAATCTTAAAAAAAAAAAAGGTATATACAAATGTAATTAAAACCAAACTTAATTACTTTGAAATTAGGAAACATATTCCTAAAAAGATGATTAAAAAAAAAACCTAGAAATTATCTAAAAAGTAGGGGCACCTGGGTGGCTCAGTCATTAAGCAACTGCCTTTGGCTCAACTCATGATTCCAGGGTCCCAGGAGGAATCCCCTGCTTCGCAGGAAGCCTGCTTCTCCCTCTCTAGCTTCCCCCGCATGTGTTCCCTCTCTCTCTCTCTCTCTCTCTCTCTCTCTCTCGCTGTGTCTCTCTCTGTCAAATAAATAAATAAAATCTTTAAAAGAAAATTAAAAGTAACAAAAAGGAGAATACTTTATATCAATATCTATGGAGTCCAGCTAAACCTGTACTCAAGAGAAAATACATGCTTTAAGTTTTTTCAATATTAAAGATGATAAGAAAGGGACTCAGTACTCATTTTCAAAAGTTTTTTTTTAAGGCAAACCAAAAGAACCTAGGAAAAAAGAATTAAGATAAAAGTTGAAAAGAATGAAAAAGTCAAAACATAAAAGAAAGGATAATTACATCCAAAAGATGGCTCTTTTAAAAGATTTATAAACTATATAAAATTCAATAAAACAAAAGATGAGAGGGGGCAAAAATACATAAGATTTGGAATGAGAAAGTAACACAATTACAACCCCAGAGGATCTTAAAAGAATAATGCAAATCTATCATGAGTTTAAAAAGTCAAAGAAATAGATAATTTCTCAGCAAAATACAGAAAATCTGAACAGACTAGTTTCCACGTAAGAGATTAAAAGGGGGATTACAGATTTACTATTCATGAGCTCACAACAAAATTGTATCTACTCTTTAAGGAAGAGATGAATACAACTCTATTTGGAATTAACCCCAATTTCCAAAGATGACACGTCTTCAGATAAGATGTCAAAACTTCCTCTGACTCTATACATTAAGTGGAACTATAGTGGTATCCATATTTTCCTTTAATAAAACAAATGTGAAAATCTGGGGGTATATTTGAAGTAAAATTATTCTATAGCAGAAGGATACTGAGATGCAATGCCTGGTTAAGATGGGACACAAAGGATCAATACCACTCAGCAAACCCTATGTACCTTAAAGTCAAATAAAATAAAGATGGTAAGAACATACATTTTCTATTACTCATTTGTTTAAAAATATTTATTGACTACCTGTACACTTTTGATAAAAATACTCCTACCAACAATCTTAAGGAAGTAACAGTTTTCCTCTGGGGATAAACTAAACAAGGAAATTCTCACTGGAGAAAACCATTAAGAGGTTTAAGATTTTTAAGACCATTAAGTTACTTACAACTGCAAACTCATCTCTGTCAAGCATTCCATCATGATCAATATCACTCAACTCCCAAACCTTAAAAACAAAAGAATTGACAAAGATTAATGCTCTTTCATTTCATGTGGTACCTGTAAACACCAAATACTTAAATCAGGGGGAAAGTTTCATCTAAACATTAAAGTATCTATTTCTCAGAGAAATCTCACTTTTTGCTGAACATTTTATTAAATTATTACATTCTATATTAACATTACTGGAAAAAAGTAATAATTCTTAAAACAAGTATTTTTAAATAAAAACTCCTTACAAAAATTTAAAGAAAATATTTGTTTCTTTCAAATAAGAAAACAATTATGTACATAGCACTTTAAACAGCTACAACGCTTTTTCACAAACATCATCTCAATTAATTCATGCAACAACTCCATGTGATACTATCAACCAGCTTTTAGACATGAGGAATATGATTTAGTTAGGATCACACAACCATTATTAGGTTACAGAATCAGTATTCAACATAAAGATTTCCAACTAAGTCCATTATTGTTTTCCATACAGAATCTCTAATCGACCAAAAGATATATCCAGTGAATATTAATTATGAACCAGCTAATGTCCAGGGCTTACAAGGGAAAAATAAATCTAAAAGGACTTAGTAGATTTAGTTTAAATACAGAGTAGATTCCATACCTTAGACCAGCTATAAAACTATGTTATATCCTTGAAAATAAGAAATTTAAGTCATTCAACAAAATTTTACTTGGGACAGGAAGAGAAAGTAAGAGACTGGAACGGAGAAAAACAATGTCTGGTCATTAAGTGCCTTGAAGGAATATGGACTTTACCCTAAATGCATTAGGAAGCTACTAAGAGGGTTAGTTTCAAGTAAAAAAAAAATAACAGGATTATATTTATAGTTTAGAAATCTCATACTGATCACACAGCAGAGAAATGATTAATGAGAAACAATACTGGAAAATGGCTTTTAAATTTTTATTGAGCACCTAACCTATAACACTGATCCAGTAGTACTACTGACGATGTGGTGGTAAAGTCATTACCACCATCAGCATCACAGCAGCTAGCATCAAAGAATATGCACCAAGCACTGTGCTGAATATATACATTATCACATTTAACCTTACAACCCTATAAAGTGGCAATCGTGCTCATTTGAAATATTAAAAAATTGATACATGGTTTTCTGATGATTCACCCAAGGTCACACACCTAAGATGCAGACAGGATTTGACCCCATGTATTCTGACCAAGCAAGGGATTAAAGAAATGGCTGGAGGGTTAATGAGAACAGATGAGGTTTGAAGTACAAAGAGACCTAGAGAGAAATCAGTATGGAAATAGTCCAAGAGTAGGGAAAGCCCAGCTGAAGTTGGTGATCATGAAATTATGATGATACCAATTTTATTAGACTCTCAGCAGTCCATATGCAACCACACAGAAGGCACATAATTAGCTTAACACAAAGCTGGATTTTCACCAGGTCAGGAGAAAGGTTAGAACACATGGCAAAGGGAGCCAAAGATATCAACATCAAACTGTGGATTAAGTTGGTTGAGGAAAAAAATTAATTTGAAAAATAGAGAAAGTAAAGGACTCTGAGGCTTAAAGGTCTAGTGAAGTCAAAGAATTAGTCTTCCAAGTACTTATGAAAGAGATCTAGAAAAATGGGAAATTCTATTTAGAGACTAGAACAAATGATTTCAGAGATGAAACTATTCCTTATGGCAAGGCCCCATGATACAGCAATGAAGTAGGTAGCAGATACAAAATACTGGTGGTCCCTAGAAATTAAATCAAGGAATTGGGAAGTCAGAGCATACAGTACAAAGAAAAAAGGACCTACTCAAAGGGCTTATATATGTAACTAATTCCAAGCACTTACACTTTAGAGGAAATGTCAAATAAAATTAATTGGCAATAAGTTTATGTATTAAATCAGAACACAAAAAACTCTGTAATAATATAATTTCAAAATAAGGCCTAAGTATTTTTTAACAATGATCTATAAATGCTCCTGGTAGATACAAAAGTAAGATACATGACGATTACATTTAGAATTTAATAATATCTTACTCTTCCAAGGATATCCACAGGTAACTTAGAGTTGAGCAACACTGGTTTCACTTTATCACCAGAGAGAAATCCATTCACTGGGCTTAAACTATCAAAAATTGCGTCATATTTGGCCTTATCTTCAGACTATAATATAAAAAATATCACATGTTAAATAGTGGTGATATGCATTTAACTGAAGTTATAAAAATCAAATCCTCAAAGAACAGGCAACATATCCTTAAAATTATTTAAAAAATAATTTTTGCGGGTGCCTGGGTGGCTCAGTCATTAGGTCTGCCTTCAGCTCAGGTCATGATCCCAGGGTCCTGGGATTAAGCCCCACATTGGGCTCCCTGCTCAGCAAGAGGCCCGCTTCTCCCTCTCCCATTCCCCCTGCTTCTGTTCCTTCTCTCTCTCTCTAATAAATAAAATCTTTAAAAAAATTGCTTTCATCAAAAAATATTATTATAAATAACAATTTAGAAGTTACACAAGAGTCCAGTATCCCTTCCATTCCTTTCACAGCTCGAACACTATGTCTGCTTTTCTACTGTGAACTTCATGGAAAGATTTCAGTGATAGGAAGGGCTTTGAGAGGAGCATCTAGTCCAACCCTCTCACTTAAATCCATAGCAAGGAAATAACTTTTGTGAGAACACACAAGCTAGTTAGTGACATTCTATGACCTTCTCAACATGGTATTAGTTACATTTCAAACTCAGATTTTAAAAAGAAAGTAACTACCACAGGACTAAACATCAAGTTTCCCCCATTTTCCCAAAGCAAGAATTCCTTTTCTTATTGGGGAAGTTACATGTATAACATAAAAAACTACTGTTCAGGGGTGCCTGGGTGGCTCAGTGGGTCAAGCCTCTGCCTTCGGCTCGGGACATGATCTCAGGGTCCTGGGATCGAGCCCCACATCTGTCTCTCTGCTCAACAGGGAGCCTGCTTCTCCCCCTCTCTCTGCCTGCCTCTCTGCCTACTTGTGATCTCTCTGTCAAATAAATGAATAAGATCTTTAAAAAAACAAAAACAAAAAACAACTACTGTTCATGGAGCACCTGGGTGGCTCCATCTGTTGAGAGTCCGACTCTTGATTTCTGCTCAGGTCATGATCTCAGGGTTGTGAGATTAAGCCCCATATTGAGCCTGAGGTTGGGCTCCATAACTGGGGGGAGGGAGGGTCTGCTTGAGATTCTCTCCCTCTGTCCCTCCCCCTGCTTGTATGTGCGCTCTTTCTCTCTCCCTCTAAAATAAATAAAATCTTAAAAAAAACAAACTATTGTTTATGATTTGCCCAAAGCCAGATCCCTATACTTTTTAGAATTAGTTAAGAACACACAAGCATACATAAACATAAAAACCAAATGCCTTTCTGACAAAACTGTACATATTTATTAAAGATCATCTGATTCTATTATTTAAAAATTACAATTTAAAAAATCTGATAAGATAGTTTTAACTAATGTGATGTCTCCAAATAGATACAATGCAAAATACCCACTTCAGAAAAAGATTTCATTTAGAATTGTTAGTTTTAGAGCCATAAAGAAAATTATCCAGTTAACCACAATTTTTGAACAGGAAATAATACCAGTGAGGTAAACTACCTATTCATGAAATAGGATTATGACATAACCATTTTTAGTTTATACTATAACAGAAATGAGATTAAGCCATACTAATTGTCACAAAATGATTGACAAAGATCTCTCAAAAGATTTCTCATATCAGTATTTCCCTACAGTAAAAATGAAAGCCTCATGCAGATTACAACAGATTTAGGAAATAGGGGACAAGGATCATGTGGGTAGGAAGCAAAGCAGTGATAAGGAAAAAGTAGTTAAAAAGTTTACTCACTTTTACAGCCCATGGGAGCTCAGCTACAGAAGATCCACTGATTAGCAAAGGACTACTGGTATCATGCTAAAAAGGAAAATAGAGCACATGAAGAGCTGAAAACCTCACATCAATAAACAACAAAGAAAAAGTGGTCTTTGGATTTAAATACATTCCTACAAAATTTGGAACTCAAACCACACAGGACACTATTCTACATCGACTTTATTAGACTTTTATCTAAATACAAATGAAACAAAAACAGTTATCTCAGTTAGCTGCATAAATGATATTAGAGCACTAACTGAAACATTTAAGTGTTATAGAAGAAATCTTATTACAACTGATACCAAGATAAAGATACTTCAATGTAACAAAAGTATTTGTGACCCTGTTAACTGATGACTTTTTCCCAACACTATTTAAGGAAAGCAAACTGGGACAAGAACCCAACTTAAGATTTCTTAAGTTACAAGTACATGAACCTATTAACAGCATGCCCAAGTTGTTATATTTATCTGCTTGTAGAGACAGATGGATATATCTGAAACATTTTTATAATAACATAGTTAGGCAACAAATCCCTAAATCAACCCTCTGATTCCATGCCTTAAACTTACAAATGCAGAAATTTTCAAAAACTGAAGTTAAATTCATAATACTCAGACCAAATACTCTTAAAAATATTGAATTTAGAAACAAGTAAGAGCCACAGCACCTGGGTGGCTCAGTCTGTTAAGTGTCTGCCTTCAGCTTAGTCATGATCTCAGGGTCCTGGGATCAAGCCCTGTGTCAGGCTCCCTACTCAGCAGGGAATATGCTTCTCCCTCTCCCTCTCCCTCTAACTCTCCCTCCAAATCGTGCTCTCTCTCGCTCTCTAAACAAATAAAATCTAAAACAACAAAAAAAGTAAGAGCCGTGAAACTTCTGAAAAGGGGTCAGGGTAGGGAGGACTAACCCTAACAGATGTAAGAACAAATTACCAAATATGATAATTAAAACAATATGAGATGAACATATGGATAAACAGATCAAAAAGAATAGAAAAATCCAAAAAGAATTCAAAATACATGACTGAAGTGGCATTTCAAATCAGTAAGGAAAAGACTGGTTATTCAATAAACTGTATTAGGTCTATAAAGTAGCCATCTTGAAAAAACGTAAATTTGAATCCATATTCATACTTGATATCAAGACTAACATAAATGTGGGACACCTGGGTGGCTCAGTCGGTTAAGCATCTGCCTTTGGCTCAGGTCATGAACCCAGGGTCCTGGGATGGAGTCCCAGATCCAGCTCCTTGCTCAGCAGGGAGCCTACTTCTCCCTCTGCCTGTTGCTCCCTCTGCTTGTGCTCTCTCTGACAAACAAATAAATAAAATCTTAAAAAAAAAAAAAAAAAAGACTAACATAAATGTGTAAAAAGAAATGATAAAAAAAATTAAATCCTAGTAACTCATTTACATAACGAACAATGACCTCCTTATGGGGGGAAAAAAAAAAAAAACACCACAATGTCAAAAGACAAATGACAAACTGAGGGGAAAAAAGTGTATGTGTGTGTGTGTGTGTGTGTGTGTGTGTGTGTGTGTTTTAGAGTGTAGCCTCTAGAATTTAATTTTAAAAAAAGACTAATAACCTAAGAAAAATAACAAAAGCTTTAAACAGACATTTCACATAAAGGTAATATAAATGGCTCATAAGCATGAGAAAAACTACTCAAATTCACTCTATAAAACAAAATGGGCAAATTAAAACTACACTTAATGTTCCATTTATCACCTCTCAAATTGACAAAGTTCAAAAAGTTTAACAGTATGTTAGCAAAAGTGCACTCAACCAACTGATGGCAGGATTGTGGATGAGTACAACCACTGTGGAAGGCAAATTGATATTATATACGAAAATTGCACAAATGAACAAACTTCTGAAACAGCAATTCTACTTCTGAAAATATGCACATATATTTCTGTACATGCAAAATGACACATATCCAAAGTTATTATTAATTGCAGCATTTAAAAAAAATTTTAATAATAAAATATTAGGAATAAGCTAAAAACCTATCAATAGGAGGTTAAATAAATTATGGTAGAGGGGAGTGTGGGGTGATAGGTTAAACAGGTGATGGGGATTAAGGAGGGCACTTGCTGTAATGAGTACCTGTATAGTATGGTATGGAAGTGAGAATCACTGTATTGTACACCTGAAATATTACACTGTATGTTAACTGAAATTTAAATTAAAACTTTAAAAATTTTATATAAATAGAAGCAACTATAAAAAAGAATAAAGATGCTTTTATGTAAAGATCTCTAAAACATATTACTAAAAGGGTACAGAATTGTATTTATTAATTATATATTACTATCAATTTAAAATGAGGAAGTGGGTATTTATATTTCTTTATATACACATATAATAAGCCTGGAAGGATATACAAGAAACTAATAACAGCAGTAGCCATTAAGAAAGAAAATCAAGGGGGCACCTGGGTGGCTCAGTGGGTTAAAGCCTCTGCCTTCAGCTCAGGTCATGATCCCAGGGTCGATCCCAGGGTCCTGGGATCAAGCCCCCCATTGGGCTCTCCGCTCAGCAGGGAGCCTGTTTCCCTTCCTCTCTCTCTTCCTGCCTCTGCCTACTTGTGATCTGTGTCAAAATAAATAAAATCTTAAAAAAAAAAAGAAAGAAAGAAAGAAAGAAAGAAAATCAGGGAGCTGGGTGATGGGGTTAGGGGAATTTCTTTTAATATGGCAATTCTAATTTTTTTAAAATTTTAAATCATGTAATATCATTTTTTTTAATTAAATAAAATTTAAATTTAAGATCATTTCTTACAAATCTTGGTGGAGGGACGGCCAGGTTCAAGCTACTCAGTGAAACCTCCAATCCATTCTGGGCACATGCCACAAGACGCAAAGCAACAAAGAATTCCTGAGAAAGAGAAGCACGAAGTTATTAAGTGCATTACCTATCCATCCATCCATCCACACACTTACAATATGAAAATATAAAACAATTCATAATTACTCCAAGATCTTTATGTAGCAACAAATATAACAGCACATTTGCCTGAAAACATTTGCTTTAAAATTAAGAAAAAATCTATGTACAAAGATGTTCCTAACATTATAAATAGCAAAAAGTATTAATAAATGGGAAAATACTTAAATGAACTGTGATACATACAGATCATAGAAATTATACGGAATTAAAACATGCTTCAAAAATATTTAATTATCATTTAAATGAGGAAAAAGAGTCTGGAAAAAAGCCTAGAAGAAAATAACAACTGAATGTTATCAAAAGTCATCTCTGAATTTAAGATGATAAATTTTGAAACTGGGCCAATCACTGATGTGACTCAACCACTGCTATTCCAGGAAAGCTACAGAGAATACAGAGCTACTGTGCAGCGTCTAAAACAATTACACAACTGCCTGACTTCAAAATACGTGTAAATCTCTCCCAAAGGTCCTTGGATTTTTGGCATTTGAAGCCTCTAAATAAATGCAGAGATACTGAAGCAACTGGTTTTCAGCTGAGTTAAAGTCAGGTATGGGAAAAGACATAACAAATACTTTTACTCCAGTTATAATCACTTACAACTTAGTATAGTTGTTGATGCAATCAACCCTTCACCACTTTGCTCAAACCACCTATACCCTTCTTACCCAATTCCTAACCTATTCTTAGAACCTTGCAGGTTTGTCTGCTTTCTACAATACCTTGCCTTCATTCACAAAATCTCGCAAAGATGTATTTCAAGATCTCCCCTTCCCTTTTCATTCACATATATCCAAAGTTATTATACAATCTTATATTACACAAAGTTATTATACAAAGCTTTTATACAATCTGACTTCAACTCCCACCATTAGCTAGAGAAACCACTGTCTATGTCACAAATAACCTCTCAGCTACCAAACACAATAGCCTCAAAAAAACAAAACAAAACAAACAAAACCCCTGCCTCATCCTGCTTATTCTTTTGGCAGTCTGGACATGATAACTCCCAGAAACTCTCCCCCATCAACATAGCTTCGTAAAACTCTCCTACTTTTCCTCTGACCCTTCAAGTCTCTTCTCTTGCAGTCAATGCCTCCTCCAACCTCTAAATGATGGTATTCTAGGGTGCGTAGGTGGCTCAGTTGGTTAAGCAATTGCCTTCAGCTCAGGTTGGGATTGAGCCCTGCCTCAGGCTCCCTGTTCAGCAGGGAATCCACTTCTCCCTCTGCCCCTCCCCCTTCATTTGCATGCTCACTTGCTCGCGCATGCTGCTCTCTCAAATAATTAAAATCTTAAAAATAAACAAATAAATGCTGGTATTCTAAGTACTCCAGCATCAACCTTCTCTCCTTTCTCATTCTATGAGAGATTCAATTACTCTTAAGTAATCAGGTCCACCCCCTAGTATGGATGTGTTCTGAAGTGAAATAGTCCTCCTGCATTAAATTCTAGTTCTGCTACTTATAAAGTTGTGAGGCCATGGGCAAGTTAAATAAAATTTTCCTGCAAAATTTTTCTAATACCTACCTTGCCATGTATTATGAGGAACAAAATAAAAACCATACTATAGGAAGAAAACACCTACTGTCATTTTTGGCACACAGAAACTCAAAAAATATTGGTTTCTTTCCTTTTTTTCATGTTAATTCAAAAATCTTTTCTCCAATGCAAACATCAAAGTTTAACTGCAGACCCACAAATCCAGCCACCTGGATTTAACAAAGACAACTCAAACTCAACATCCAAAGTCCAGGAATGTCAGTGAAAAATTTATTATACTACAAACTCATAAAGACAGGGACTAGTGGCTCAGTTGATCGAGCAACTGCCTTCGGCTTGGGCCACGATCCTGGAACTCTGGGATCCAGTCCCGCATCGGGCTCCCAGCTCCACGGGGAGTCTGCTTCTCCCTTTGACCTCACCTCTCATGCTCTCTCTCACTGTCTCTCTCTCAAATAAATAAATAAATAAACAAAACAGGTACTCAACAAATATTTGCTGACTGAATGCACACTACCTTGGCTGCTCATATTAAGGTAGTTTTCCTATGTCTCCAATGGACCAACTGGCCCTCCTGCCCAGGGGTTCCAATCTACAAGCTAACCCTAGAATCTTAATTTAAATTTAACTAATCTTAATTAAATGTAATCTTAATCTAATTAATAGACTGGATATTCTGACCCTCTCATCTAAATTTCCCATCCCTTTTCTAAGTATGATACTGCTTCAGCTATCCCATATGGGGGAATTAAATTTGAGTAGCAGTGCTCAGCCCATGTATCAGCATGCAGCAAGCTTTGAATTCAATCCTGTGGACCTCTGAAATTCATCCCAACAAACTGAATGAACTTCAAAGTACACTGATGGTGTTCAATTCCCATAATCGTTTCACGTATTTCTAGTCTAGGGTACACTTATGGCATATAAACCATTTTTTGATGTATATGCCAAGTAAGACCTAGACCATAACACTCACAAGTTAAGTATACTGTACAGGTAAGAAACTGAGTATGTTGAAAAAGGTAATGGTATTAGAAAGTAGAGCCTTTGAGGAGTGCTTAAGACATCAGAGTAGGGCCTTCATGAATGGGATTAGTGCTTTAAGGGTCCAGAAAGATCCCTCGCCCCTTCAGTCTTGTAAGGATACAACAAGAAGTTTGCGACCAAGAAGACAGTCCTCACCCAAACATATTGGCAGCCTGATCTTGTATTTTCAGGCTCCAGGACTGTGAGCAATAAATTTCTGCTATTTATAAGCCATCCAGTCTGTGTTATCCTGTCAGAGAACCCCCAACAGACTAAGACATTCCAGGAGAACAATGTCACCAAATGATCACTAACTAAACTTTGGGAATCACTTACTTTAATGTCTACTGAATTGGAAATATTTTCCAATATATTGTTGTAACACTTGCCCTTGAAAACCCTAATGTTTTCAATTGTAAATTGAATTCAATTGGTAAAAAACCAATTCCTAGTTTAAAATTAGAAAAAAAATCTTGGTTTTTATTCTGAAGCACTCAAAAAATTTCTCAAATGTATCTCTGAATCTTACTTGTTTGTTCAGGATTCCTTTGCCATTTGTGTCAGCTAAATCCCAAATCTGAAATTCAGGGGAAAAAAAAGTCAATGTATATTTTAAACAAAAAGCGTCTTAAAGATAAATTAAATCCTTGTAATATACAATTTCATTCTTTTTGGTCCTCAGATAAGAATCATAGAATTAAAAGTGAGAAGAAACCTTGGTTATTTAGTGCAACCCTACACAAAGATACTAAAACCCAGTGAGATACTCAAAATTTAAGGCATCAAGGAAAGAAGTGAAACCCAGGTTCTAACTTCTAAGTCCAATGCCTTTTTCATTAAGACAGGTTCTAACTCCAAATCTAATGCTCTTTCTACTAGAACCTACTACCTTGATTTTAGATCCATATTAAGATGATCTTCTTATAGTTCATGTTTATTTGTGATTATAAATTATAAATTTATAATAAATAGTATTAATATCATGTATAAGGATTCACCAGGAGAGGGACTTCCCACTTCTTGTGGGAAGCCTCTTATCCCCAACTCTATTCACCACAAATTAAACACAGTTAGAGACAGTTGTAATAGAGGAAGCAGAGATAAAGCCAACTCTGAGTGGGTGGCAAGGTTCCCAGGCTGCCCTGTTTTTCTCCACAATACCCAAATGTACTATTACTTCCTCATTTTATCTCACTAAAAAATAATTCGTTTTCTTAAAATCTGAAAACACCTTACTTTTCAAAAGGGTAAATCACAGCACCACAAATTCCCTCCATTGCATTACTATAACTGCTTCAATGATTCAATTCATACTTCTAAGTTTCTTGATGGTATCTTTCTAAATTTGCATCCAATTTATTTATACCACTACATAAATATTCATTATAATCTAGTTGAAATGAACAAACACTACCTTTCCAAGAATCAGGTCTGGAAGCCCTGATCTTTTCAGAAAAACAGCAGCATCAGAAGCCAATACCCTTCCAGTATTGCCTGTATCAACCTGAAAAGATACAAACTGTAAGCTGACGAAAACCACAAAGACAAAATTATCATCATTTTACCTGCCTTCCTCCCTGTGACTTGGGAAATGGCTTTTTCAAAAAGGGAACAGGAATCTTTTGACTAACAAAAGCCTAGAAATATATGGAGAACCACATGAGTAGAATACCATCTTAACAGCACTGGTCATTTACAGTTTTTTTTAATCACACCCATTATACAAATGGGAGAACTGAGGCTCAGAGGAAGTATACCAAAATTAGTGGAGTCACAATATTTAACATTTATCTTCTGATTCCAAGTCTTCTATAGGTGCCATTTAAATTCTAATAAACTTGGAGCACCTGAGGGGCTCAGACAGTTAAGCGTCTGCCCTCGACTCAGGTTCTGGAATCAACCCCCACATTGGACTCTGCTCAGCGGGGCATCTGCTTCGCCCTCTCCCTCTGTCCCTCCGCCTGCTCATGCTCTCTCTCTCAAATAAATTTAAAAATAAATAAATACATAAATAAATTCTAATGAACTTAATAGTAATAGAAGGAAAAGGGCATAATTTCCTGGAAAGGTCTTTTGACAGATGAGAATAGCTGTGTATGTTATCTGTTTTTTTTTTTTTCAAACATCTTTAAATCATTAACTTCTGCTTTTATACTTATTCTTAGACACTGCAACAATTAAAAAAAAAAATCAAAGTAGTATCAGCTCGAAAACCAGCAGTGATTCCATAATAAACTTAAGGAAACATTTTTAAAATTCTTAAGTTCCTAAAGCGCATTAACAGAAACACATCATTTTAATTTATAGGAATTTTCCTTTAAAACAGAAAACAGCTCAAAAAATGACTGTCACTTCCATAAAGATTTCCTAAAGTAAAATTGTTTGTAAAAGTGAAAAGTAAATTTTAAAAAGTCCTGGGAAAAGTAACATGATTCAAGGATATTTGTGAGCTAGCTGTTTTTCCAGTTTAGTTAAAAGATTAAGTTTGTTGTAAACATTCACAAAGCATTCCAGACAGGCCAATCCCAGCGAAGACACAGAAGAGAAATCCTTTCTTTTGAGTGCTGGAACACGGGATAAATCTGGCACTCAGCCAAAAAAAAAAAAAAAAAAAAAACCCAGTCCAATTTGGAGTAACCAAGAAGTACAAAAAGGGTAGAGAAACCTGCCTCTAGAAAATCTCCCAGCATCGGGCTCTCTGCTCAGCAGGGAGCCTGCTTCTCCCCCCCCCACCCCCCCCCCCCCCCCCCCCCCCTTTGATATCTCTCTCTGTAAAAAAAAAAAAAAACATCTTTAAAAAAAAAAAAAAGAAAAAAAAACTCCAGAACTCCTTCTTCTTTGTCTACCCCCCAACTGGGGGCTTAGGGTGGAGGACATCTATCCCTTGCATGACCTAAACAGAGGGACCATCAAGGGAAACACTGATCAAACTCTCATGAAATATTTATGTATCATATTCCAATTTTATTATCTTCCACTCTTTTGGTTACTATAATAAATTTAAACAGCCACTTTGTCTCTGTCATATACAGGAATTTCTGTTGTACTCTGACACTTGCCCAAAGGCTCTGCCGTAAGCTACAGGTTAAAATCTGTGTCTTCATCAAAGACAAAAAAAGACAGTTTCAGACCCTCGTGGAAAGAACTATTCCACATAATCTGAATTATTAACACTTCAAAACACAGACTTTTGGATAAAGGCTTCTGAGCTGACGTCACTTTAGACACTATCAGACTGTACTGGTGAACTAAGAATATCCAGAACTATAGAATCTAGAAGTAGTTTTATTTCATGAAAGCAGACTCTTGACCCAAGATTCAGGGGAAGAAGAATTAATTACACAGGACTGAATACACTGTTGAGGAATATTTAATTATGGTTACTAATTTGGAATACTATTGGTATTATTTTTAATATTCTGTTTTCTAATGGATATGTAGAAAAGCCCTATTTATCTCCTTATGTTATCTTTAGCCCTCAATTTAGTAGGTTCTGCTTTTGTAAACTGAATGAAATAGCTTTCGATGGGATCTGATTTTCACTGACTCTTCAGACCTCAAAAACAAATCTTTCAATGAATGTCCTTATTTTTATAGCAATATAGTTATGAACAGGTTAAATAATTTTTTCTCCTTTTTATCAGGATATAGTTGAGTAAATAAACTGCACAAAATAAAGCCTATTCGAGAATAGTTATCTTTTATTCAGAAAGAAAAAGCTGCTATTAAGGAAAAAGGACTGACTTATGCAGAGACAATGTCTAGAAAACCCTCTCAAGAAAACTGGCCTGCAACCTGGTCTGTAAGATCCTAGTCTCAGCGACAGTAAACCAAGGCCACTTAGCAGGATAGGAACCTTAGCAGATATGGGAATCCTCAAGATGAGATAAATTCATTCAAATTCATATGTACTGCAGACGAAAAATGGAAAAAAGAATTTCTAAGGTTTGGGTCCTAGTCTCAAGATAGAGAAAAAATACCAAAGGCTTTAAAAAGTACAATCCAAGATTCTTTAGAAATTTCAGGTAGAAATTAATTCTCCAGGCTCTGAAGTTGTTATATAGTTGAGTGTATGTCTGTAGATTTGCAAGTCGTACCCAAGGAGACTTATAATGGTTCATTAATAAACTTGCTGTAATTATGTAACAGCCAGGTCAAATTATAGCCTTTTCTGTGATCATGATCACAGATAAAGAGACTGTTAGGAAAAATGATCCAGTATTTGGAAATGGGCAATTGAGATTGTCTACACCCTCAACAGATTTGATGTATGAACCCCTCATTGACTTTCTATTCACTAGGCTCTTTTACACTAGGAGGAATAGAAGTTAAATTATAGAAAACTGACAGCAATGCAATGTTTCCTGTCCATACCAATAAATGAACTTTATCTAGTGGAGAATATAAATCTCTACAACTCATATTCTCATTTTTACATCTTACTGTTCTTCCAGTAATTAGCTGAAGTAAGTAAAATCCTTGACACATGTTCATTTCATATTTGTATGAAAATCATAGTTTTAACTTTGTAAAAATTAAACTTAAAACATCTTTTTTTTTTTTAAAGATTTTATTTATTTATTTGACAGACAGAGATCACAAGTAGACAGGCAGGCAGAGAGAGAGAGAGGGAAGCAGGCTCCCCGCTGAGCAGAGAGCCCGATGCGGGACTCGATCCCAGGACCCTGAGATCATGACCTGAGCCGAAGGCAGCGGCTTAACCCACTGAGCCACCCAGGCACCCAAAACATCTTTTTTTAATAAGATTTTATTTATTTATTTAAGACAGCGAGGATGCATGCAAGAAAAGGAGTGCAAGGTGGGGAAGGGAAACGGGGAAGGAGAAGAACACGCAGACTCCATTTTGAATACAGAGCCCCACGAGGTGGGGTGGGGGGAGAGCTCGATCTCACAATCCTGAGATCATGACCTGAGCCAAAATCAAGAGTCAACTGATTAACCAACTGAGCCCCCAGGCGCCCCTAAACTTTAATAAGTTTTAAAAACAACAGAAAAGTTATTCTGATTTGGCCTAAAATTAATTTGGATATTTATATCTAGATTAATATATCTAATGTTATATGGATTTTATAACATATCTAATGGTATACATTATATGGATAGACAGACATTTAAGACAATTAAATGTTTGGGCTTAATTGTCTCTTTCCTTCATTCTTCTGATAGCTTGTCAAAAAGAATTAAGCAGGGACTCCTGGGTGGCTCATTTGGTTAAGCACCTGCCTTCGGCTCAGGTCATGATCCTCAGATCCTGGGATCAAGTTCCACATCAGGCTTCTTGCTCAGTAGGGAGCCTGCTTCTACCTCTGCCTACCATTCTCCCTGCTTATGTTCTCTCCCTCTCTCCCACTGACAAATAAATAAATAAAATCTTAAAAAAAAAAACAACACACATAAACAGTCAAAGTAGGAGGCTAAAGCACAAGAAACTGAAAACAAGACACATCAAATGTGTTCAGATGGGTAGTAATCTGCAAATACACCATCAAGAGTTGAAAGTATTTTTATACTCAATCTAGGACAACAAAGATACAAAAATCTTACCTGTCTGTAGTATTTTTCATATACAGGATTCCCACTTGATAACTAAAATAAATAAATAATTAGAGATTAAATGATATTCAATAATCTGTATTAGTGTATTTACATTCTTTCAACAGATACTGGAAAAAAAGATAAGAGTAAAATATACTTGATTTTGAAAAACAAAGATGAATAAGAATAAAATATACTTGGCTTAGTTTCTTTTGAGGGAGAAGGCAAGTGAAAAAAGGCAGCTATATGGATTAAGAATCAAGTAGACAAAATAAAACAAGAATTTTAAAATTATTTTTGATATCAAAACTTCCTTTCCTCATCCAAAATTTTACCAAGAAACCCAACAAATAACAAATTAGGGGTGAAACGTTTTGGTTAAAAAAGGCCCAAAGCCTTCAGCATGCATCTTCCACACAAGTATCCAAGGTCCCTATGAACACAATTCAAAAACATTTCGATAAAATAATCTAGTGAATACATAAACTGATATACAAAAAGATGGTATTTATATGATCAGACCTTAAACACTTGTAGGCAAGGAGTGCCACTCAATTCATACCACAGTTCAGAGTTTCCTGGTCAGCTAATAAACAGATTTACTATCTCATCTGAAAGGCAGCTAAGGAGTTTCAACGTCGGAAGGCTCCGGTTCACCGGACCATGAGTATTTAAGAGTGTTCTAGAACCAGGAAGGGAGTCCAAAAAGGCTCCACCAGTGCAGGAATTTGAAATATGGCGGGGAAGGGGAGAGAGTGATTCTGTATGGAGGTAAGAGTATGCACAAAGCATGCAATCAACAGAAATCTCAGTTACATCTGAAAGAGCAGTAAGTCATTCTGAATGGTGACAGGAATTAGAGATAAGATTTTGAAGTTTCGTAGAAGACAACATAAGAAGGGATTCACATACCTTGGAAAAAGTAAAGAAAATGAGAATGGACAAAGGGGACAGATGCAAAACTTATTAATATAGTATTAGATCTAGGTGATTACTTGTGAACAAGGAAAATAAGATGGAAGGTAGAAGGCTACTTACGAAATAATTTTAATGGGCCCAGTAGAGGGGACCTGAACACCAGCAATGGCAGGAAAGAAGGGTATGATCTGAATAAATATTTGTAAGATAGATCTGACAGGACTCATTAAGTAGATGAGGGGGCAAAAGAGGCTTAGATCGAAATACAAAGATAAACAGGAAAAAAACATTCAAGCATCAAGGTGGGGCCTACAGCCTTAATGGGTATAAAACTGGATTCAGGAATCAACATTCAGGACACCTGGATGGCTCAGTGCATTAAGCATCCACCTGTGGCCCAGGTCATGATCTCAGGGTCCCATCACTGAGCCCTGAACTGCGCTCCCTGTTCAGCAGCAGGTCTGCTTTGCCCCCTCCTTGTGCCCTCCAACCCCCACCACCCAGCTCATACTCTCTCTTTCTCTCTCAAATAAATAAAAAATCTTTTTTAAAAAAGATTTTATTTATTTATTTGACACAGAGAGAGAGAACAAGCAGGAGGAGTGGCAGGCGGAGGGAGAGGGAAGAAGCAGGCTCCTGCTGAGCAAGAAGAAGGGCTCGATCCCAGGACCCGGGGATCATGACCTGGGCTGAAGGCAGCTGCTTAACCAACTGAGCCACCCATGCACCCCTAAATAAATAAATTTTTTTTTTAGAAATCAACATCCATTGAATACCAAGTTTGAGAACACGTTATGCTAGTAATAGTTGAGAGCCACATAGTATCATTCCAATTTGCAAATAAAGAAACCTAGTATAAACCATAGTATCCTTGTGAGCCACATAGTATCATTCCAACTTGCAAATGAGGAAACCTAATGTGAAGGTTAATTTTATGTGTCAATTTGGCTAAACTAACCCAGTTGTTGGTCAAACACCCATCTAGATGTTACTCTAAAAGTAATTTTTAAATGTCATTAATATTTATATCAGTAGAATGAGTAAAATAATGTGAGTGGGCCTCATCCTATCAGTTGAAGGGCTTAAGAGAAAAGCCTGAAGTACCCTGAGGAAGAAGGAATTTTGCCTCCAGAAAGCCTTTAGATTCAGAAGCAACATCAACTCTTCCCTGGGTCCCCAGCCTGGCCTGCTGACCTACCCTACAGATTTAGGACTTGCCATCACCCACAATCACATAAGCCAATTCCTTAAAATCAGTCAATCAGCGTATTTGAATATGTGTCTATCCTGTTGGTCTTGTTTCTCTGGAAAACCCTAACACACCTAACCTCACAGAGGTTACTTACCCAAGCTATTAAATGGCAAAGCCCAGAGTTAAATGCAGGTTATCCCACTCCAAGTTCCATGCTCTTTTACAATACCATGCTGTTTTCCACATGCCCTGGTTTGCTCAGGAGAGTCTTACTTCATAAACTGTCGTACCAGCATACCATTCAGCTTACCATTTGTCTCAGATTTCGCATTTTCTTAAATGAACTATTATTATTAGTCACTATATAAAAATAAACCACAATGGATTTAGTATATCTCTATTGTATATATCTAACTTCTGACCAAGGTATCAACTAGTAGTGTAAGTGCTTTATCCAGTTGGAACAGGAATGAAATTTGAAAGAGAACTAGTGATAATTCCATCTTTCTTTTCCTGTTTCTTCACAGATATAGTATCACACCTTCTTTTCAACAAGAGCATGCAGAGACTCACTGAAAAGTATCCTCAGACACAAGCAACTTTAGACAGCTAACTCCTTATAACCTTGTGAGGTAGTGGAAAAGGTATTTGACACTGGTACTGCAATAAAATGAAATTACAGAAAGCCTACAATTTGCAGCATCAATTTAGTGGAACATGTAATATACTCATAATTAGGGACAACTTTCATGATAAGATTTGTCTATATAAAAATATTTGTCAAAAAGAGCAGCTTAATAGAGGCAAAAATAAAAAAAACCTGTAAAAATACTGGGGCTGACAAATTTATAATTTTCAGTAACAAAAAAATAAGAATTAAGACTATTCTCCACGTAGCAAATTTTTTCCTGAGATAACCAGATACATCACAAGAGTTTATTAGCAATTAAAAATATTACTGGTTACAGAAAATAAATTGTAAAGGTTAACAACTACAAACCCTAATATATAACTCTGAAAACTATAACAATTTCATGAAAAAATTTAAACTAGTTAAACTATACTGAAAAATAATTACACTGTTCAATAAAGTATCAGTGATACCATATCAGAGACAGGTGTGGCTAATAAACTGCTAGAAAATACGATACCAAAAATAATTATTCTGGATGCGTTTTTTAATATTGTGATAATCAATACAAAGATTTAACTTTGGGGCATCTGGGTGGCTCAGTAGGTTAAGCAACTGCCTTCAGCTCAGGTCATGATCCCAGGGTCCTGGGATTGAGCCCCACATCAGGCTCTCTACTCAGCAAGGAGCCTGCTTCTCCCTCTCCCTCAGCCTGCTGCTCCCCTTGCTTGTGCATGCGCGCTCTCTCTCTCTCTCTCTCTCTCTGTTAAATAAATAAAATCCTTTAAAAAAAGACTTAATTTTATTATAATATAATACAAATGTTTTAGTAAATTTCATTTTTGAAAATCGTGTTTGACTAGAACTACTATACTAATCTACCAATGTAATCATTTTGATGCCCAGGAAAATGTATTTCAAAAAACCTCCAGAATTTTAAATATTTGTAAGTGTCCCTTTTAAATATTTGTAAGTGTCCCTTTCATTCTCAAAAATGTCCGGGTTGAGTGAAAAATTACATACCCATCCTACTTTCAGATAAGAGTGAAGATACTTTGCTAGAGGAAGCAAATACCATCAATAATGAAGAGGTAATTTTTAAAGATAATTCAGCTGAATTTTTAGGACCCGGTGGGAAGGGGGGGGGCAGGGAGGAAATCTCATACAAAGGAAAGAAATTCTGAGCTCCAAACTGTACTTTATTAATCATCACAATACAGACTCATTGGTTACTACATAAACACATTTGAGAAGGCATTAGCTAAGTGTTCTAAAGTACACCCTGTGCTGATTAGTATACTAATACGATACAGCTAAGTGAGAATGGAAAAAGCCATCCAAACTGCCAATTTGCTCAAGGAAAAAAAAGAACAGTGTTTTCAGCTTGTCTCCGTAAAAATATTTTTTCCTGAAATATGATCATTTTAGATCAAAAAGAAATCACAGATACATAACACTAACAATGGATGCAGAGAGAAAAAAATTTGAAAGGCATAGCTAAAATGGTAATAGTGATTATCTCTGAATAATGGGATTATAAATTACTTTTACATTCTTCGTTATATTACTCTATTCTCTGAAAATTTTTTATAAAAAGCATTTCCTATTTTTTTAAAAGATTTTATTTATTCATTTGAGAGAAAGAGCACAAGCATGGGGAGCAGCAGAGGGAGAAGGAGAAGCAGGCTCCCCGCTGAGCAGGGAGCCCCACACAGGGCTTGATCCCAGGACCTGGAGATCATGACCTGAGCTGAAGCCAAGTGCTTAACCATCTGAACCACCCAGGTGCCCCAAGCATTTCCTATTTTTATAATTAAAATAAAACAATAAAGCTATTTTCAATTTGAAGAGAAACACAAAAATCCCAAAATTTGAAATCAGTATTCAAAATCACCTATGAATTTTTAGCATCTAAATTATTTCTAAAGGAAAACTTTTAAAGTTGTCAAAATAAAATTCTGACCTTTTAAAATTCTAACATTATTATTTAAAAGCAAATATAATAAATTCTTACTAGCTGCCACAAAATATTCATAAGCAGTAAGAATTCCTTCTAAAGAGTCAGTAGCTATTTATTACTACTCTGAAAAAATGTTAAGTGTTCATAAATAATAAATATTAGAAAGCAAACAGTTTCGTAAAAAAAAAAAACAAAAAAAAAAAAAAAAAAAAAAACTCAAGTTTTTGTATCAAATGGGCCTAGATTCAAAGTCCATTCCACTGCTTCTTAAATGATCTTGAACAACTTAGTGACCTCTTTAAAAAGCCTATCTCCTGGTTAAGTGCCAGACTTCAGCTCAGGTCATATCT